CATGGAAGAATTTTACTTGGGAAAATGTCCTTGTGACAAAAATAAATATTGAGGGAGCCAAAAGAAGACTGGAGAACCTTCCCTACACAGTATCTGAGCCCAAGAAAGCAAGGTGAGCGCCTCTAGTCTGTCTGGAAGCTAGTCAGTAGCACCAAGAGAGCCCTGGAGCCTTGGGAGCCCCACGTCCTGGGAGGAGCAGGGGCTGCCTCCTAACACACTTGTCACTGGGGGAGAAGCTCCCGGGTAGCCAGGCCGCGGGGGCAGTAGGTTCTGAGAGCTTAGCAGTGGGCATTCTTGTGAATTATACTGGTAATTGTTGTCTGCATTCTCTTGGCTGCCCTAACCCTGGCAGACCAGTCACCTTTTAGAACACAGCTCTTCTCGCAAAAAGCTAAAGTTTTTGTATGTTACATGTTGCTTACGTTAAGAATTAGCCTCTAGGCTTGCGAAGGTGGCTCAGTGGTAGAGTGCTTGCTTTGCATGCATGAGGCCCGGGGTTCGATTCCTTAGTACCACATCCACAGCAAAAGCCAGAAGTGGCACTGTAGCCCAAGTGGTAGAGCGCTACCCTTGAGCTGAAGAGCTGGCCACCAGTGGCTCACACCTATAACCTTAGCTACTGAGGAGGCTGAGATTTAATGATCACAGTGTGAAGCCAGCCCAGGCAGAAAAGTCTGTGAGACTCTAATCTCCAATAAACCACTCAGAAAAGGCCAGAAGTAGTGTTGTGTCTTAAGTGGTAGAGTGAAGCTCAGGGTAGCACCCGTGGGTGGCCCTGAGTTCAAGCCCCAGAACCGGGGGAGGGGGAGGGAAATTAACCTCTAGAACCAAATATTCATATTAATAAGATGAACAGTCTAACCATGTCAGTGAATTTCTACCCCGGAGCTGAGTTCTAGAGCAATTGTGTTGGTGAGCATGGATTGTGAGTTCGGAGATTTAGTTGGTGATGTGACATTCAGATACACTGCCATTTAAGACCACACTGGATCTACAAACAAACAAAAATAAACAAATAACTGCAGCCCTGAGCACTGTCCTCTGGACAGAGTTCGAAAGAGGCTGCTTCCTGGAGCCTCGCTAGGTGCCGCTGGCCCTGCCCGGAGTAGTCTACCTGCCTCTGGGTTTGTGCGCCTTGCTAGCTGCAAACCATGATATTCCGGGAGTGGGAGCACTCTTGTCTCTTGCTCCTGGTTCTGAGATTGCGAGATGATGTTTCAGTTTGAGCAGGACCAGATGCCCAGAAGAGTCTCACCTGATGTCTGAGCACTTAGACGCGCTGGCAGAGGCAAGGCTGGCAGCAGTCTCTGCCTGTGACCCTCCTCAGCCCTCAGGAAAGCTGGGCTAGCCTTCAGCTGGTTGCATAAGCGTCTCATCCGTGCTTCGGACATTTTAGATTTTATTAAACTTTTAAGCTAAGATTAACTGTCTGGCCAACCAAAGACCAGTGTGGTGGAAACTTTGTAAAGGAATAGACTCGGAAACCCTGGAAAAGCTGGGAACTCACCTTCCTGTTCCTCCCCTCCTTTTCCTTGCCATCTCTGTTCTTTCTCTTCCTCCTCCTCTTTGTCATCTTCTTGCTCTCTCACCTTCCTTGTGCTCATGCTCCTCCTCCTTTGTTCTCTCTTGCTTCACCACTTCATGACTGTAATGAATGAGACCGTATCTCTGTTTAGTATTTTCTGATTTGTGTCATTAAAATGTATGTGTTACACTGCCCTTTTACATATGCTGAAGTCATTTGCAATTTGTTAATCTTTATCTCAACCCTCAGTGTTGACAAGTGTCGATGGGTCTTCTTTTTAGAATTCACAAGGACCTGATAAGGACCCTGAGTGGCTATAGTTTTCTGTCTTTTTCCTCAGAACAGAATCTACCAGTGCCTCCTAAAATTTAAAACTAGTCATGATAATTCATTTAATGAGAGCTGATCTGTTTATTCAGTAGTAGCAATTCCTTGTATTCCTGTAATGAATTGTCATTCATCACAGCAAGATTATTTTTCAGAACTGTTTTTCAGTTTAGTTGATGCTTGAATGTAAAAACTAAGAGATAGAAATTGAGTAATATATGGCTTTTCAGAAGTAATTTTCCACTGTAAATTTCCACTTGTCCTGAATAGGACAGCATGAGAGCAGCAAGTGGGACAAGTGGCAGAGCCACTGCGGGCAATGCAGAGAGAGCGGCTCGTGAGCTAGATGGCCGTGGCGGCTGAGTGCAGGAGCTCCTGGCAGGGAGAGCGGCTCGTGCGCTAGATGGCCGTGGTGGCTGTGTGCAGGAGCTCCAGGCAGGGAGAGCGGCTCGTGAGCTAGATGGCCGTGGCGGCTGTGTTCC